CTTGCACGTAGCTGACTGCAGTTCAGTCCCGAACGGCTTAAAACTCACTCTAGGAGTGTATGCAAGTGTGCTCAGGATCCCAAGAGGAGAATGGAGGAGAAGGAATTGCAGTGTGGCCATCCCCCACTGGGGAGGTGATTTCTCACTTTCTGTCTTTCTGTCTCTCTGGTGAGCACACTCATCCGATAGCAAAAATCTCTCTTTTTAAAAAAATAAAAAAGAATCTCAGAATAGGACTGGCTTTGTAGCACAATGGTTAGGTGCTGTGCAGAGAGCCAGATCCCATTCAGGAGGCCACAGCTCAAATCCTGGGTTTGGCAGCTTGAAAAACACACCTGGTGTGTTTGCACATATGCCTGAAATCCTGACAGGAAGGAGACATGGAGGAAAAGGATTGTGGTGTGAGCACACCTCATTAAGGGATGTGCCCTCTCTCTCTGGAGAGTGCATCCGCTGTCTGACAGTTTAAAAACTATGTGTATCTCAGGACAGCAACAGCAGAGGCTTACGCCAAGCCCCAGGCCCTCCGAAGCCTGGGGCTCTATGTGACTGCAGACGTCACATGCCCGTTGAGCCAGCCTGTCTTCTCCCTCCGCACCCTCCCCGGCCATCTCTGTGTGTAATGTCAAACGTCTATGACTTTATTAAGTAAAACAATCCACCTCCATCTTAGTCGCTTCTCTCCCACCTGAACAATCCTATCAAGTTTCATCTTTTGTAACCAAGAAGCACCATGAAGGAACAATCGAAAACAAAGTTGCCATTTCCCTCTGAAAGAGCCCCCATAAAGCTCAGGCTGACACAATTTGTTAGACAGTTGCTTTTCTCCCATTTATGACTGGAAGTACATCTGGAGTCACCAACAGGCCCTGGAGGGCAGGATGGGGGTTTACAGATGGCTGTATTCTTTTATTGGTATGGAAGTGCTCAGACTCCTAGAAGACCCACTAAAGAAGATGCAGAGATTTTTTTAGCTTAAGACTTACAATAAATCTTAGCCTTGGAATCACTTTTACAAACTTTGATCTGGAACCCCAATATAAAATAAGTAGCAAGAAGACTGCTCTAAGTGAAGTGGGAACGGGTGGTCTTGACCCCTCCACCCCGCACCTCCCTCGACTGGGCTCCCTCGACTGGGCCCACTCGCCATGCTTCACACAATTCCTCCTGCCATCTCTCAACCCCAGGAACCTATCGTCTTGGCTCACAGCAGCTACTACACCCCGTGCCTTTGTTCGTATCATCTCCTCTGCCCGAATTGCCTCTCTCCCATAGACTACTTGCTGGATCCCTTACGTGTCCTTCAAAACCTCTTCTGGGAGGCCCCTCGTCACTACTGGGCTGTGGGTACACACCCCTGTCTGGCCCTGCCTGGCTTGATCTTAAGTTACCTCTGTGGATGTCTCACCCCCTTCTTAGGCTGGGAGCCCCTCCAAGGGGGAGAGCTGACTTACCCACCTCCACCTGTGTCAACAGTGTCCAACATGCAAACACCACCAGACACCTTGTGACACAGGGGTGACAGAGATGCACCTGCTGGGCTTGGAAGGGGCCAGAGGGAAGCAAAAAGGAGGAGAGAGAAATTTGTCATATGGCAACTGTTTGAAAGCAAGAAATGAAGAGACTGGGTCAGCTCCGTGGCCTGGTGGTAAAGGCAGCCAAATCCTGCATGACCAACCACACAGTTTGAATCCTGGACGTGGTGACTTGACAAACATGCCGAGCATGCATGCATGGGTGCCCAAAATCCTGAGAAGAGGCGGGTGATGGAGGAAAGAGATTTCAGTATGACCATTCCCCATGGTGGGGGGTGGGGCGTGATTTCTCCTCTCCTTTCTCTGTCCCTGTCTCTCTCTGCCAAGTGCATACCCCCTCTAGCAAAAGGTAAAATAAAAAGAATTTAAAGAAAAGAAATGCAGAATGTTAGCAAAAACCTGGGCTGCTAACAACAAGGAAAAAGCCTGGATTAATTCCATCATCAATTATCACCCTGACTAAATGCATTCCAGATTAAATAAAGAAACTATCTCCAGAGAGGGGAGTAGGGCAGATGGGAGCCACGGCGCAGAAGTGAGGGGGTTGGCCTCTGATGGGCAAAGAGGGCCAGTCTGCCGGTGGCAGGTGTGGGCAGCAGGAGCTGGGCACGACACCAGGCACTGGGCCACGTGAGGAGTCAGGCAGACGGCGGTGGGGTGCCAGCCAGAGGTTGTCATTGATAAGGGTCAGCTGGGCAAGGCCTGGACGTCAACCGAACACCCAGGGTCCGACACGAACCCACTTCCAGAGGGGACTGCCAGGGCAAAAGGAAGTCTGTTCCCATGAGCCAGCCACACTCACTGCTGCCACAACCACTGTGACAGGAGCCCGAGACCCTCCAGTGCTGCTCACCCGCCTGGCCCTTGAACAAAGTCTCTGACACGGTTGGCGGGGTCTGTGCAAGTGGCATGGCGTCTGACCTAATTGCATCTCTTTCATGTCCTGGTCCCCGCTGAGTAGATGTCCTGGAATGCCTTCTCTGAGAAGTGCATCGTCAGTTTTAGATACAGGCATCCCTACCCCCAACACACAAACACACACACACACACACACACACACACCATCCTAAAGAGAAAAGGAGTGCTGAGTACAAAACCCAAAACTGGCAAAGAAAACAGACTAACGTGGAGGTGAGCGTATCAGGCCAAAGACGAAGGTGTCGTCCAGGCATGAAACATGTCACACCTCTCCGGGACCTCGTGTGTGTGTGTGTGTGTCTGTCCATCCTTAGACCTTTAGAGTGCAGACCAAAGAGTCGGTCTTTATGTCCACACGCAAATATTCTCCAAGGATGAAACTAGGTGGGGAAGGGGAGCGAAGGATAAGCAAAGCCGGTCTCCGTGCTGCTTCTCAGCTGGATATTTTCAGCCACTCTTCAAGCATAGGCTGGGGTAATTTTAGCAACCAGGGAGTGGAGAGCGGGTAACCGTTCCGCTTTCAAAGTGCTCGATTCGCTCCATTGTGAGAGCCCATTCATTCCGCGGTTAGGAGAGTGGCCTTGAGGGGACATAGCCACGTGTTCTGAAGGAGCTGAGCCCGGCTTTGAGGCCGCATTTGCAGAATCCCCCAGCTCTGTCTGTAGATGTGTGGAGCTTAGTTACTGCGGTGTTTCCCTTTGGTTAAGGTCTGTGTGTGTTGCTGTTGCTCTCAATTTTTTTTTAAATTTTTTAGAGGGCATGTGTGCTCACTGGAGGAGACATGGAGGGAGGGAGAGCGAGAAAGCACCCCCCATGGGGTATGGTAACACTGCAGTCCCTTCCCTTCCATCTCTCCCTCCCTTCGGGATTTGGGGTTCACACATGCGCCCTGCCCTGCCTTTTTCTCAAATTGCTGGGTCCAGGACTTGCACCATGCAGTTGGCCATGTGGGATCCAGCCGTCTTAACCACCACACCACTGGCTGGCCCTGATTTTTCTTTTTTAATTCACTTATTTATGTAGCCACAAGTCTATGTCAGTGCCCGGCCTAGTCACTGGGTACCTAGTGAGTAAAGCCGCGGCACTTCCTCCTTCCACAGAGCTCTGGCAATGATGGGGCGTTGACAAGCAAGTCCAGTATTTTAACAGGAAAAGCCATGGCTCCACGGAGCCCAGACTCAGGATGCAAAAGAAGGGCTTAGCCTTGGGACCAGTCTTACAAACTTGGAACCAGGGGTGATTGGAATGAGCCCTGCCCAGGAGCAGGCACGTCTGCAGGGACACTGAGGAGGCCCCTGGTCACAGTGTGGCTTCGTGCACTTTCTCCTGGGCACTGCCTTTGGCTGTGTTCTCACAGCTGTGCCATCACCGTTTCACCAGAATCAGGCACATGGAGATTTTTAGAGCAGCTCGAATGTTCTTTCCAAGGGCCGGCCCAATTTTCCAACCCAGCAGTTTCCAGGTTGTGCTCCACAGAGACCGATAGTTCCTGGATGTACTTCGGGGCTGCCTGAGAGGGCACAGCCAAGCCTGCAGGCCCATCGGATTTATATCCAAGGATGGTTTTGTTTGGAAAAATAAATGGATAACCCAGATGAAAAGGTAAACAAAATGTGATGCATACATGCAATGGAGGATTATTCAGCTTTTAAAAAGGGAGGGAATTCCGGGGCCAGGCAGTGATGCAGAGGTAATGCACTGGATCCACAGGTAAAAAGGTCCTGGGTTTGAGTCCCGGGACTTCTCTGAGCATGCCAGGCATGCGTGTGTGTGCCTGTTATCTGGGCTGGCTGAAACCAGGGAGGATCACTAGGTGAAGACCTAGTTGAGGGTCTCTTTCTCTCCTCTCTCAGAATAAATATGTAAACTTTTCTTTTTAGAAAGGGGAAGAAAACCATGACACACGCGACAGTGTGGACGAACCTTGAGGACATTCTGCTCCGTGAGATCAGCTGGTCGCAGAAAGACAAATAACCGTTATTCTATGCAGTGTGAAGTCCCTAGAGGAGTCGAATTCATAGAGACAGAACATAAAGGGGGGCTGCCAGGTTGGGGGGATGATGAGGGGTGATGGCTCAGTGGGTACAGAGTTTCCATTGGGGAAGATGGAGAAGTTCTGCAGACAGGCAGCGGGGATGGCCGCAAACATTATGCATGGACTTGACACCACTGAACAGCGCACTTAGACATGGCTCAAAGGACACATCTTAGGGTACAGATAGCCTACCAAGATCAAAGAGATAAGACAGCTTGGGCAATGGGGAGGAGCATCGCAGACTTAGGCCACAGCGTGCAGGCTACCACTGAGCCGGCTGCAGCCTAGGGCAGAGGGCTTTCTCAAAGGTCTCTGAGTTGCCCGCCCCCAGAGCAGCTCTCGCGTCTCAGGGATGTCTGGGGCACATCTGCTTTGTGACCTGGGTGTACAGAGCAGGGGACACAGGCTGCAGCATCGCCGGCTCTCATGGAAGAAGGTGCCAGGTGCTCGCGTGCTACCGGGCAGCCTCCTCCCGCAGCCCGCACCCTGAGCAGTGACTGTTTCTGTTCCAGATCGCATCCCTGCTCAAGGACAATGAGCGTATCCAGTCCACCCAGACTGTCACCCCCAACGACGAGGACAGTGACATCAAGAAAATTAAGAAGGTCTGTACTGTCCCTCTGAATGGCCAGCCTGGGACTGCAGTGCCCACCTCCTATCCTCTGCCCCAGGGTATGCTGCCCACCTAGGCAGCCACCCACCCAGTGCCAGAGACAGAAGTAGCTGCCCCTCACCCCTGAATGGCTCCCCATTGGGCCATTTCCTCTGGTTATTCCTGAGCGGCAGGATGGCTCAGCCCCATTTTATAGATAAGAAAACAAAGGGTCCCCTAGAGATGGAGTGGGTGGGAGCCCAGGCCTTGGGACTCACAGCTGTGAGCTTTCCTTGCAGTGTCACATGGATCTCACCAAGATCCCAACTCCATGGCTCCCATGCAGCCACTGTCCCCACTGTCATCCATACATGGCCGCTCTCATCTGCTCCAAGTCCTAACAAACCTCAGCATGGGAACTAGCGTTCATGAAGGCCCACGGCAGCCCCGCTCCTTTCACTCTATCAGAGAGGAGAAGGCAGATATTTCAGGAGGTGCCAGGGGTCTGCTGGGGAACCAGGGCAGGGACAGTGCCACAGGAGAGAACATGGTGTGTTTGCAACCAGCCAGCTTGACTCACTCTAAGCAAAACACATGAAACCAGAGAATCCTGTTTGTTGAGAGCACACAAGACCCCCAGTACCACCCAGACCAGGAACTATGACCTGGTACCCCACAGCCAGCTGAAGCCTACCGGCACCTTTGGGCATTCAAACCACACAGTGGGGCTTCTCATTTGTTTCTCTTTCAATTTTGTTGCTAGAGTTTAAAAAGCTAAATACATCATACAAACACCTGGATTTCTGGTTTCTCAAAAAAACAGAAATTGGGGGCCAGCCTTATAGCCTAGTGATTAAGAAAGCCTGATCCCCCATGGCTGACCATGGTTCAAGTCCCAGCCTCTGTGGTTTAAGAAACATGCCAGGCACATGTACGTAAGTTTGTGCCCAAAACATCGACAGGATGGAGACACGGAGGAGACAGAATTGCAGCATGACCAGCACCATTGGGGGATGCTTTCTCTCTTCCTCTCTCTTTCTCGTACAATTAAAAAAAAGAAAGAAAGAAAGAGAGACTGACTCCATAGATCAGTGGTCAGGCTCCATGCATGAGGGGCCATAGCCCACAGGCTGACCACAGTTCAAGTCCCAGCCCCAGCAGCTCGGAACGCACACGGCACATGTGCACATGTGCCCCAAATCCTGGTAAGATGGAGAAACAGAGGAAAACGGATTGCAGTGTAACTACGCCCACTGGGGAGGGTGCATGCACCCTCTACCAATATAAAACAATAACCAGAAATAGCTAACAGTCATTAACCACGTTCTACGTGTCAGCCACTGTTCCAGGAGCTTATTCAGATTAACTGGATCCTGACTAAAGCCTTCTGAGATTTCATGACTATTTCCATTTCACATATGGGGAAGCTGAGGCATGGAGGAGAAAAGTAACTTGTCCAAGCTCAGTAGCTGAGTATTGGCAGAGTACCGTTCTCCCCGACCACCCTGCTCGGGAGCTCGTGCCCTATCATGGACTCCATGCCGCCTAGGAGAGCAGAGGCCGCCAGACCCAGACCAGCCCCCACACATGGACCTCAGCCTCAGGCAGGAGAAGCTGCCTCATGACACCCTTGCGGCCAGCTTTGTGCACCGCAGGCCCTGCCAGGCCCCAGGTGCTGGAATTTACACCCAGGTCTAAGCCCATCCCGCCGAGAAGGCTGGCCTGGTCTGCCTCCTGTGCTGAGGCTCACGGAGTTCTCGTCTGGAGCAGTCATTCTGGTTGGAGCATTGTGTGAAAGGCCAGCTGAAATCCACCTTCGACCTCTATCTTCGTTCTCCGGGAGCCTCAGCAGAAGTCCACCCTTCTTCTAGAGGCTCCTGTGTCTTTAGAGGAGGTCTTTGGGGCTCGGGTCAGGCTGTCCTCATCCTTAGCCAGCAGGTCTGCACTGGACAGCTGCACCTGCTGTTTACTGCCAGTGCCCCTCACAGCTGAGTCCCCTACCCTAGCACCACCCAGGACCCTCGCTCCGATTGCTCTCTGGCCTGACCCTGGGGACCGTGAGCTTGCACGCAGCTCAGCAGGAGGACTGGCAGGGAGGCAGTGGCCTCTGGGTTGGGTGCCCATGCAGTTTGAGGCAACCCTCTGTGTGCATAGTTCGAGTCCCAGCCCCAGCGGTTTGAAAAACACACCAGGTGTGTGTGTATGTGTGTGCCCAAAATCCTAACCAAGTGGAGAAATGGAAGAGAAGGGATTGTGGTGTAACCAAGTCCCATTGGAGGGTGCTTTCTCTCTCTTTTCCTCTCTCTCTCTGTCTCTTTCTGTCTCTCTCTAGCAATTGGAGATGAACAGAAAATTAAAAAAATAAAGCCACCAAGAGATTTTGTTGAAATGTAGGGGTCTGGAGTGGGCCTGAACATCTGCATTCCTGACAAGCTCCCCAGGGGTGCCTGCCCAGTCTGTGGCCCACACTTTGAGTCATTAGCCCTATCTGACAGGCAAGAGAATCAGCTCAGTCAGAAAAAGCGACTGGTCTGGCATCCGAACAGGAAGTGGAGCCAGGCGTGTCCGCATCCAAGGCCTTTTCTCTCTACGTCCAGCATGGGCGATGGCAAAGCCTTGGTCCCTTCCCTGGGGGGTCCTCACGCCCTGGAAGGACAAGAGTGGCCAAGACTCTCAAAAGAGCCCCTTCCCACTGGTCTCCATGTCCAGGTGCAAAGCTTCTTGCGGGGCTGGCTCTGCCGGCGCAAGTGGAAGACCATCATCCAGGACTACATCCGGTCGCCCCACGCCGACAGCATGCGCAAAAGGAACCAGGTGGTGTTCAGCATGCTGGAGGCCGAGGCCGAGTACGTGCAGCAGCTGCACATCCTGGTCAACAACTTCCTGCGACCGCTGCGCATGGCCGCCAGCTCCAAGAAGCCGCCCATCACGCATGATGACGTCAGCAGCATTTTCCTGAACAGGTGAGCGCCCCCTGGAGGTTGGCCTGGCTCAGAGCGTTTGGCCGGGGAGGTGAGAAGGCCGCTAAGGCGCCCCAGCCAGGTGCTGAGCTGAACTTGGACGCGAGCCCCCATCTGTCTATAGTTCCCACCCGAGGCCTGGGATTATGTTCTAATAACCAGAGGCCAACCCCACCCAGCACTATGCAGGACTGACAGGTTTGGACAGCGCTTCCCACACCACGATGGGGCGTTTATCGACCTGCTTAGCGCCAGGCCCTCTGTCAGCACTCAGCCTCCGTGCTTTCTGATCTTCAGAGACACCCACGAGGCTTGAGCCTGGGCTCAGAGAGGTGGTGGGATGTGCTGGGAGGGGCGAGCTGGGATGTTAACTTAGACCTAGTTCATGTGGAGTCCTCTTCCCCACCCCTTGCTCTCCTTGCCACTCCCATCACACCTCACAGCCCCCGCTTATAACAGCCGCTGACTACTGGTGCGGTCTCTGCTGGGAACTTCGCTGTAAGCCCGGCCTTCTCACTGTGAGCAAGGGATGCAGGGCCGCACTGCCCCGGTCTCCCTGCCCCAGGTCCCCACGCCAAGGTCTGTGGTTCACAGGCCAAGGGCAGAGGCTGCCAGCTCAGGTATCAGAAAACATCTCCGCATTAAGCTCTGGGTGTGCTTTTGGGCTGAAATATACAGCCACATTGAAACCTGATGCTCATTTGGTGACTTAATTTACTGGAGTTCATTGAAGAAGTCCTTGGGAAGAAGGAGGCCCCCCTCCAGGTTGGCAGGTTGATGGAGGATGTGCCGAGCTGGGAGGGTGTTAACTGCGTGCTTCTCACACAAGGGAGAGGGTGTTTGAACTAAGTAGCGGCAGCAGGCCTTGTTTAGCCAAGAGAACGAGTTTACACACTGGGCCGCCTCCCTGTAATAGAAACCACGCCCAGCGTCCTGCACTGGGACCCACAGGTGCTGCCATGGCCAGAGGCTGCCCATCCCAGTGGCAGATGGTTCGCATGCCAGCTCTGATTGATTGGCAGAGGCTGCCTGGGTTGGGAGGACGATAAGGCTCCATCAGGGAGCACTCCACAATCAATTCGTCATGTCTGCTGGGGGTGAAGAAGGGCAAGCACTTGAACCATGAAGAATATCTGGCAAAACGCAACAGGCCGAGAGCCCAGGGCAAAAGCCAAAAGACCCAGTTCTGTCTTGGTCTAGCCCAGCCCTATCGCCCTTGGGCTGACCTTGGGCCACTCAGGCTCCTTTCTGGGCTCAGGGAGGGAGCCAGGTGAGGTGAGCACCTCTGCAGACAGGCCACTTCCTCTCCCTGGAACGCCCCTCCCACCCTCCTCTCCTGACAGCCCTCTCCTACTCTTCCCTGTCTTCCCTTCCATGTCACACCCCTGGCCACTACTGGCTTATGTCCCCTGGTTGTGTGCTCTCAGAGCCCCTGTCCTGTCCCTTTGGTCACATTCGTCACACTCGATGACTTCTTCCATGTCTAGATCCCCTGCTGCGGGTGGGGACAGAGCCACAGGCTACACTTGCACCAGCTCCGCACATTTCAGGCGCGTTCACACAGCCCAGGGCTCAGCAGGCCTTATCTGTGAAGGGCTGGAGAGTAGATATTTCAGCCCCTGACGGCCGTACAGTCTCTGTCACGGGTAACCCACAAATAAGAGGATGTGGCTATGTCTCAATAAAACTTCACTCGTGGACACTAAAATGTGAAATTTGTACAGTTTTCACATGTTACAAAATGCCTTTTGAGTTTTTTTCTTTGGAGAGGTTTTTTTTTTTGCTATAGGGCCCGTGCGCTTGCCAGACAGAGAGACAGAAAGCGAGAAATCACCCCCCAGGGGGGATGGGCATACCGCAATCCCTTCTCCTCCATTCTCCTCTCAGGATCTTGGGCACGTATGCACACGCACCCGGTGCGAGTTTTAAGCCACCGGGTCCGGGACTCGAACCACAGTCAACTACATGGGAGTCCAGCGACATAGCCATTATGCTAACTGCTGGTCCCCGAGTTTTTTTCACTTTAAAATGTGAAATGAGGCTGATCCTGTAGCACAGTGGTTAAGCACTGGGATGGAGGAATGGAGGAAAGGGAATTACGTTGTGACCAGGCACTGGTGGGGGACGGCTCGCTCGCTCTCTCTCTCTCTCTCTCTTTTTTCCTCTCTCCCTCCCTCCCTCTCTGGCACACATGTGTCTTCTGACATTAAAAAGAACACTCAAATGGACTGATTTTTTACAGTGTACATTTCAAGTTTACACTTTAAAAATGAGACTTCATCCATTATATGTTTATAGTTCTAGCTTATGATGTTCCTGATATGCTGCTACACAAGCCTGTGTGGTCCTGCGATCCGGGAAGGTTCATTTTTCTTTCTGATGCATCCCAAATACTTGTTCACCAGAACTGCCTAAACATGATGTCCCTGAGTCTTGCTATGGCAATGCACTGGGTTTTCTAAAGGATCTAATACATGTCAAAATCCTACTTATGGCTCTCTCAAGAGACCCTAAAAGTCCCCTGACCCTGAGGAGCCCTCCTCAGGAAGGGTGTTCTCTCTGTGCACTTGTGAACCCTCAGTCTGTCTCGTGCTCCCAGAAGGTCTCGAAAGCTCTTAGGGCTGGCCCACGCTTTTCCGTTCACCAAGCTCGTTCAGGAGCCACAGACCAGCCGTGCCAATGTGGGTCAGCACTGTGTTGCCACATCTGGAAGGACCCTTTCTCTTGGGACTTTAGGGAAATGATGACCAACTCATAGCACACTAGGATGCACACTAGAAAGAACTCGCCAAGTTTCTTTGCTTGGGTTCTCTGGGTTTCTGTCCCTTCTGTGTAGCCTGCCAGGTACACTGGGTGGTCAGCTTTGCTCTTCGGCCTGCAATGTCATATGCTTCCTCTCCCTCCCCCATCCCCTCACCCCTTTTTCTTGCAGCTTCCTTCTTCTCTCCCCCTGCTCCCTCTCACACTGCCTTTCACCCTTCCCTGCCTGTTTGCAAAGCCAAGATGCACAAGGCGTTTCCCAGGGCCCTCTCTGTCCTCTGGGCCCCGCACCTGCCCACCTCATGCCCAGCTCACAGGTGTCTCTGTGCTCACTCAGAGCCTGCCACCCCTTGTTCTTGCTATGCCGTGGCAGGGAGGAGGCTGGCCTCTGGGGACAAACTGCTGGGAGAAGCAGATGGCACCAGATAACGCCTCCCCTCTGGGGAACTGCCAGGCACTGCAAACCCAAAGTGCTGGGAACGCACAGAGGAGAGGGAACGGAGGGCACCGCAATCCCTTCTCCATTCTCCTCTTGGGATCTTGGGCGCACACGTGCCAGGTGTGAGTTTAAGCCACTGGGTCCGGGACTCGAACAGCGGTCGACTAGGTGGGAGTCCAGCGACATAGCCATTATGCCAACTGCTGGTCCCTAACAAGTTTTCTTTTCTCATCTTGGTTTTGGTTTTCATGTGGGGTCTCACCATGTCATGATCCTCTCCTGCCTCAGCCTCCCAATTCCCTGGTTTACAGGCAGGCACCACTGGACCAAGAATCAAGCCCAGGCCCCCCCGTGTAGCCCCAGCCTGCAGAATATAGCATCTTAGCAACTCACGTCACCACAGCGGGGCAGCCTGCAGAAGATAGCATCTTGGCAACCCACGTCACCACAGCGGGGCCCCCATCTTCATTCTGCACCAGACCCCCCAATTATATCATGCATCCTGCTGGCAGTCTCACCTAAGACCACCCTTGAGGAACCATTCATTTACACTTTAAAAATGAGACTTCATCCATTATATGTTTATAGTTCTAGCTTATGATGTTCCTGATATGCTGCTACACAAGCCTGTGTGGTCCTGCGATCCGGGAAGGTTCATTTTTCTTTCTGATGCATCCCAAATACTTGTTCACCAGAACTGCCTAAACATGATGTCCCTGAGTCTTGCTATGGCAATGCACTGGGTTTTCTAAAGGATCTAATACATGTCAAAATCCTACTTATGGCTCTCTCAAGAGACCCTAAAAGTCCCCTGACCCTGAGGAGCCCTCCTCAGGAAGGGTGTTCTCTCTGTGCACTTGTGAACCCTCAGTCTGTCTCGTGCTCCCAGAAGGTCTCGAAAGCTCTTAGGGCTGGCCCACGCTTTTCCGTTCACCAAGCTCGTTCAGGAGCCACAGACCAGCCGTGCCAATGTGGGTCAGCACTGTGTTGCCACATCTGGAAGGACCCTTTCTCTTGGGACTTTAGGGAAATGATGACCAACTCATAGCACACTAGGATGCACACTAGAAAGAACTCGCCAAGTTTCTTTGCTTGGGTTCTCTGGGTTTCTGTCCCTTCTGTGTAGCCTGCCAGGTACACTGGGTGGTCAGCTTTGCTCTTCGGCCTGCAATGTCATATGCTTCCTCTCCCTCCCCCATCCCCTCACCCCTTTTTCTTGCAGCTTCCTTCTTCTCTCCCCCTGCTCCCTCTCACACTGCCTTTCACCCTTCCCTGCCTGTTTGCAAAGCCAAGATGCACAAGGCGTTTCCCAGGGCCCTCTCTGTCCTCTGGGCCCCGCACCTGCCCACCTCATGCCCAGCTCACAGGTGTCTCTGTGCTCACTCAGAGCCTGCCACCCCTTGTTCTTGCTATGCCGTGGCAGGGAGGAGGCTGGCCTCTGGGGACAAACTGCTGGGAGAAGCAGATGGCACCAGATAACGCCTCCCCTCTGGGGAACTGCCAGGCACTGCAAACCCAAAGTGCTGGGAACGCACAGAGGAGAGGGAACGGAGGGCACCGCAATCCCTTCTCCATTCTCCTCTTGGGATCTTGGGCGCACACGTGCCAGGTGTGAGTTTAAGCCACTGGGTCCGGGACTCGAACAGCGGTCGACTAGGTGGGAGTCCAGCGACATAGCCATTATGCCAACTGCTGGTCCCTAACAAGTTTTCTTTTCTCATCTTGGTTTTGGTTTTCATGTGGGGTCTCACCATGTCATGATCCTCTCCTGCCTCAGCCTCCCAATTCCCTGGTTTACAGGCAGGCACCACTGGACCAAGAATCAAGCCCAGGCCCCCCCGTGTAGCCCCAGCCTGCAGAATATAGCATCTTAGCAACTCACGTCACCACAGCGGGGCCCCCATCTTCATTCTGCACCAGACCCCCCAATTATATCATGCATCCTGCTGGCGGTCTCACCTAAGACCACCCTTGAGGAACCATTCATTGCTGCCAGGCCCATGGAGCTGGCGGCCACGAGCTTCCTGTAGGCCCCTCTCGGGTTGGGGGAAGGGTCATCTCTGGAGAGCTAGGAGGTCCCTTGGCTTTAGCTCACCCTGTTTTCTCTTTCAGCGAAACCATCATGTTTTTACATCAGATCTTTTACCAAGGCCTGAAAGCCCGCATCTCCAGCTGGCCCACGCTGGTCCTGGGTGAGTAGCCCGCCCTGGAGGCGGGGGCAGTTTGGTCCTTCCAGAACATCATTGAGTGGCAGGCTGTAAAATCCGCCAATCCCTCCGAGGGAGCAGAAAAGACCAAACTTGGCAAAAGCACCATTTCTAAGAGGAAGCGATGTATTTTTAGTTTCTTATTCACTTTCCTTTTTGAAAAGAATGTATACATCCCCATTTGAGATCATTGGAAAACCCAGAAAAGTAGAAAATGTTTAAAAATATCAACCATGGTTCTGCTTCCCAAAGATAACCACTATAAACACTTAGATGTGTTTTCTTCCCGTTTTTTTCTGTGCGTAGATCTTAGGGTATTTTTTTCCCCATTTTACATAATTGCAAACATACCGAATATAGAATCCGAATCTTGCTCGTTTTTTTTTTAAACGTAATATGATGATAGCATAAGCATTTTCTCATGCCGCAAGCTTGCTTTGGGTCGCTGTATGACACTCTGGTACCAGAAACTATATCAACATCCAAATGGCCATCTCCCATTATTGATGGCTCCCTGGCATTCCAGATTGTTGTTACAGAACAATCACCTCTGCACACAACATTTTCCCCATATTAGAGACTGTTTCCTTGGGATAGGTTTCTGAAAGTAGAATTTTTTTTTTAAAGTTTGCCAGAGGGCATGTGTGCTCATCACAGAGAGGGAGGGAGAGAGAAAGCACACCCCACAGGTCACGGTCACACCACAATCCCTTCTCCATGTCTCCCTCCTTTGGGGATCTTGGGCACACACAAGCACCTGGCGTGTTTCTCAAGCTACCGGGTCGGAGACTCAAACCACAGGGTCGACCATGTAAGCTCCAGCTGTCTTAGCCACCAGGCCACAGGACCAACCCTCAAAAGTAGAATTACTAAAACAAAGTCTGCACAGAGCAGGGCGCTGGGCTGCCTAGAAGAGGCGGACGTTGCTCCAGCCCACAGGAAGCCTGAAGCTGGTGGGAGGTGGGCTGCAGAGACTCCTCCCTCCAGCTGGGACCAATCATGGACACACCATGGAGGGGGTGTGACCTGGGCAGGGCAGCTTTAGCAGAGAGCCAGAGCAGGGACCCAGCTCAAGATGCAAGCACCCGTGTCCCGAAGGGAGGTCCTGGGGGCGCGGCACCTGCTCTCTCTGACCCTCCATCACAGACAGCGGACTAGCAGGGCCCGGGTGTCTAAAATCCGTGCTGGGCGGCGGTTCCAGAGACGTCCCAAAGGCAGGGGTCTCCCTGGGCGGGGCATCTGGACCCGGCCCCCGGCTGACCCGCCCTCCTTGCAGCCGACCTGTTCGACATCCTGCTGCCCATGCTCAACATCTACCAGGAGTTCGTGCGCAACCACCAGTACAGCCTGCAGATCCTGGCCCACTGCAAGCAGAACCGCGACTTCGACAAGCTGCTCAAGCACTACGAGGCCAAGCCCGACTGCGAGGAGAGGACGCTGGAGACCTTCCTCACCTACCCCATGTTCCAGGTGGCCGCCAGCCCCGCCTGCCGCGGCACCCCACACACCCTAGCTCTGGGCTGCTCTGGGGGGGTCACCGGGCCAGCTCGGCGCTAAGGGCCAGATGCCGGCGGGGCGGGCGGCGAGGGGCAGCTCCTGGGGGTGCCCACCTGGGCCCTTCCCTGCAGGCTCCGGGGCCGCCCTGCCCTGCCTCCTGCAGAGGCCGAGTAGGAGAGCCGGAGGTCGCAGGGCAGCCTGTCCGCTTCCCCGTCCTCACGGCCGGGCCCACCGCCCTGTCCTCCGCCCGCAGATCCCCAGGTACATCCTGACCCTGCACGAGCTCCTGGCCCACACGCCGCACGAGCACGTGGAGCGCAACAGCCTGGACTACGCCAAGTCCAAACTGGAGGAGCTGTCCAGGTGAGCGCCCTGCACGCCGCGGCTCTCCCGGAGAGGGCGCCAGGACGGCGGACACTCACCCGGCTCCTCCGCTCCGGTCCCTCAAACGCGGACGTGGGCGGCGAGTCCAGGGCACCTGCGGTTCCAGAGGCCCGGGGGGGAGGCTGCAGGGGGCGCTCTCGGCCCTGGCGTCCAGCGGCGCCCCCTGCAGGCGCGAGCGGAGACAACCGGAAGCGTCTGTCATGCCGGGGGAAGTGGCGGCTGCGCGGGGGCGGGGCCAGAGGAGGGCTCCACGTGGGTGGGCGTCGACGTGCGGCGGCCCGAGGCAGGAGGGAAAGGCCGGCATCCAGGTGACCCTGCCCGGGATGGGGAACCGCAGGTGGGGCGGAGTGTAGGGCGCTCAGGGGCGGCCGTCGGGGCCTATTGGTTGACCTTGGGGTGCGATTTGATGTCCAAGAGAGGAGAGAGCCTCGGAACCCGACCGCTGGGCATGGGGTTTGAGGCCACCAGGGAGGGCGTTCAGGCAGGAAAGAGACTAGAACCAAGGGCCGAGGAGGGGCTGTGTGGCCGCAGTCAGGCTGCCCACGGCCGCGGGGGAGGATCGGGCTTCCACAGGGGACCACCCCAGCCCTCCCAGGGCCCTGCTGGCCACAGTGGGCTCCTCGGGGCAAACGTGCAGGAGCACGTGGGGCCCAAGACCCCCGGCCCCTTTCCCCGGGCTCCAGGGTGTGCATTCTGCGAGGGGGGACAGGACTGAGGGAAGCTCCCTGGCCTGGCAGGAAGCCACCAGAGAGCTGACCCCTCCTGGGCTCAGAAACTCTCCTCCCTCTGGGGCCTGAACCCCTGAGAACTCACGTCGCTACTTCCAGCCCTCCCAGCTGTGTGCCCCGGGGGTTCCCAGCAGACACCCCAGCCCCCAGAACTGGTGCTGACCGACTCCTGCAGTTAGCACATGGCTAACAGGAGAACTAGTTTTGCTACTTTGGAATCACCCCCTTATGTCTTATAAACAGTCCTCCCCCAGCCCAAGCCCCACCACCACCAAGAGAAGTGCCCCTCATTACCACTGGCTGCTTCCAGAAATGGACGGTCTCTGGGAGTCCAGCGCGTGCCCAAGGGCCCTCCCTCACAGGCGTCAGGGTGTTAGCTTCTGAGATGAGCCTGCTGGGAAGGAAAGTGTGAAACTGAGGCTCCTACGGGGGAGCACCATCTCGATGCTCAGGTGTGGTTATTGTCATGTAGGTTAGTGAGTTTAAGCCTCAGGTGCATGTCCTAAACAGCAACACAGATGACGGATACTCATACGCTTTGCAGTCTATTGGGTTGTCAGGAAGGTCATGATGCATTTTTGCAGAAAAAAAAAAGTCGTGACTTTTCTAACAACTCAATGTGATCATGACAACCACCATCACTGCCTTGTATTCAGGTTCCTGTCATGTGCCAGGTACCTGAATCCAGCCCCTGAAATACCTTGTTACCCCAAGTCTACAGGTGAGGACACTGAGGGTTGCAGGGGTTAAGCGGTTTGTTGGAGTCATGCGGATTTGAGTCAGCTCAATCCCTGTCAGCTGTCCTTGGGGTGGAGCTTGAATTGGATTAAGGTGAGAGAACTTGCCAAGCGATCCATCTGAACCAGCCTTCTTGGTCATCTTCACTGTCGGGTTTCAGGCAGCATCAGAAAAAGAAAAGACTTTGCATTTTTCTTAAACTAGTTGGGATTATTTTTATAGAGCTCCCCCTATCTCCCCCTTACCCCCCCCCAAAAAAAAAGACTCATTACTTTCCTAAGACTCCTGGAAACCCACCAAGGCAAAATCGGCCGCTTTCGCCTCTTTCCCCACCAACAATATTTTTAAGTGGTTAAATGGCGCCGCCTCCTGGAGAAGTTGGGTATTGCATCAGTCAGAACAAGGCCAAGTAGAATTAACCACATCTCCTCCTAGAAGTGTTGGAGCCTATGAAAGTGGGCTGAGGTCAGTCTTTCTCCGAACCAGCTGAACTGCCAGTTGCTCAAAAAAAAAAAAAAAGGAGATGGCTATATCTGGAGAAAGGTTGCGGTGGAGAGGAAGGCGAGCCACTGCACAGGCCCTGTGGATGGGAATAAGGGCCGTAGCAGGCTGCAGGGCAGGGTAATGAGCAGACACCGTCACCTGTGCTGTCCTCTCCGCTCTTCTCCCAGAGCTGGGCTAGACTCGCTGTCCCTGTCCTGCACGGTTCAGACCTGGATGCCTGACAGCTGCCGCCTCTCTCTAACTGTATTTCCATTCTGCGATAAGAGCCCCTGCATCCTTTAGCTGTCAGAAGGGCCAAATGAGGCCACATCCGTGAAGTGGCCAGCACCCAGTGGACACCGAGATGCACAGCCCTTCCCCTTCGTAACTACAGCCCCACCGAGAATCCTGGGGGCCAGCCTTTTCTCCGGGGCCGGGCCATAGACCCGTGTTCTCTCCACCCTGGGAAGCGGGGCAGCCCATCGCTGACCACGGCCGGCCGTCCTGTCCCCGCAGGGTCATGCACGATGAAGTGAGCGAGACGGAGAACATCCGGAAGAACCTGGCCATCGAGCGCATGATCATCGAGGGCTGCGAGATCCTCCTGGACACCAGCCAGACCTTCGTGAGACAAGGTGCGGCTTCTGTCCCACCCGGGGGCCCAGCAGTGGGGGAAGCAGCGCCGGGGACATGCCACCAGGGCAGACTACCTTGCAGTGGACCCAAATGTGCCAGTGTGATGCGGAATGCTCCGGGGCCGTGGCCAAGCACGATGGGTCTACGTAGATGTTGCTGTCTACACAGACAGACACAGACGTGGGTTCTGAGTCCTTCTCTGCAGACGTGAACAGAATTCTACCCGAATGGCCTTGGTTTGTCTGCCGTACGGCATGGTAGACACCACCATGTCTTTTCTGGGGAGAAAGTAAGAGGCAGGGGGATGAGAACGGATAGCAATTGGCTACATGGGTCACAAGCATTTTGGGGGTCCAAGCAGAGGTCATTGGGGGGCCATCCTTCTGTGCTTGGCTCCATCCTAAGCAGAGGTCACAGGTCCTCTCACTGTCGGCCTCCAGCCTCAGCTCACCTGGGGCAGTGCTGGGGAGACACGGCCCTGTAAGGAGAGGCAGGCGAGCTTCTCGTTAGAAGGCATTCAGGGAGGTCGGTGTAAGCGGGGTCAGGCAGAGAGCGGAGATGGTGGTGAGGGGGCTAGCTCACAGGTCATGTGCTCCTGGAGCCTGAAGACAGGCAGGGGAAGGGGGGCGGGTCTCATCCCAGGAGCTACTCTGCTCAGTTAGGGCATCCTGGAGCTGGTGTTGAGGACCCCGGAGGCTCAGTAGCTGAGTACAGTGATCAGTTAGCGATGTCTACACCGCAGACGTGGGTGTGTCTGCTTCATCCCTGGGGCCTGCAGCGAGCTCCCCACTCCTTCAGCCTCCTGCCCTTCATTGTCACTAGGTGGGCCATGCCCTTTAGTGGCCTTTTGCTTGCCAGAGGCCGGGTCCCTCCCTGGGAGGCCACAGGCCCTGTGGAGTTCCTCTGACCACCCTGACCCCTGCTACCTGCCCTGAGAGGGCACTGCAAGGAGTGTCCTGTGGTGAGCTTGCCACCAAGACTGGGAGCCTCATCCCACTGCCACAGCCACAGGCACCTCCATCTTCCAAGTGGGGTCGGAGGCAGCGGGCGCCCCAAAGGCGGCTCAGCGTCTCATCCTCCACCGCAGGTTCCCTTATCCAGGTGCCCATGTCCGAAAAGGGCAAGATCACCAGGGGGCGCCTGGGGTCTCTGTCCCTGAAGAAGGAGGGCGAGCGGCAGTGCTTCCTGTTCTCCAAGCACCTGATCATCTGCACCAGAGGCTCCGGGGGGAAGCTCCACCTGACCAAGGTGAGGGCCTGTGGGTGCAGGTGCTGCCGCCGAGGCACAGGGCTGGCCCGTGACAGAGACACGGGAGTAGTGCACGCACACACACACGCACACCCTGCTTGGCCTCTCGGGGGAGAGCAGCCCATGGGAGATATCTGGGACATGGGACGGTGACTCTCAGGCCTCGAGGACCCCCGTGGCCCCCTAAAGGCACATGTGTGAACATGTGCGTTTCTGTGTGCAAATGTATGTGGAATGTGGGTATATGGTGTGTGATGTCTGCGTTTGTGTCTCTGTGCATGTTTGTGTCTGTATAGTGTGCGCATGTGTGGTGTATGTGTGGTGCGTGAGTGTGTGTGTGCCTGTGTGTGTGCCCTGTAGTGTGTCGTATGTGTGTAATGCATATGTATGTGTCTGCCTGTGTGTGTGCGTGTCCACGTGTGTGGCGCGAGTGTGTGGAAGGACTAGAGTGAGGACACCCTGCTTGGGGGAGGACCCCTCAGAGTCTTTCATCTCCAGCCAGAGCAACCCGCAGCCGCCCTCTGGCCACTGCCCGGCCCAGGAGCCGGGCTGACGGGCACAACTGACCCTGGAGGCTGCTGAGCTGCCGACTCAGGGTGCCCCGGGACCTCACGGGACACCCACTTGCTCATCCCCAAGGCTGGAGGGGAATGAGCACCTCAAACCGCACCCTGTGTCCCTCGAGGCCCAGGGCCCTTGCCCAAGCTGTCCACTCAGCCACCAGTCTTCCCCCCCGGCCAGCCTCCTTCATGCCCCAGGCCCGCTCCCTGCCATGCTGCCCCCGGCCCGACTCCGTGTTCCCAGCTGCACACTGCTCGTCCCGCCGCTGTGAGCTCGGGCCAGCCCAGCTCTGCCACTTTTCCTCATGTGACCCTGCCCCTGCCGACAGGGTCCCCCGTCCTCACAGACGCCACACAGCTGTCTTCACAGCGGGCTCCCAGAGTGTGGACTGCTCTGTCGGCTGCACGGCATGCACCCTTCCCAGCGCCACATCCCCTCCTCAGAGGCTGCTTGTACAGATTCTAAGTCCGACGCGCTGCTTCCTGGAAAGGGCCAGAAGGTGCCCTAATTAAGCCCGAGCAGGAGGGAGACGGTTCTTCCAGGCCCTGACTGCCTGGCCCGTTACCTCCTGGAGAGCCAGCAGACCGCGCGTGGTGGCTTCAGGGGACATCCCGCTTGTGTTCACATGTCACCAAATTAGCCGGTTGGCTGCACAAAGAGAAATTAATTTATAAATGTTGGACACTCCAGTTCCTACCACCAACACACATATACACAATACACATATACACAACACACGTATATATACATAACACACATATATATGCAACACACATACACAGCACACGCATATACACAGCACACACTATACCTATCTGTGGGGACGCTCTCTTCAGAGTCCTCTCCACCTGACCTCGCAGCCCCCCTAGACAGCACATCGACCGTGGACTCGAGGCCCCTGCCCTCTCTCTTTCAGAACGGAGTCATATCGCTCATCGACTGCACCCTGTTGGAGGACCCGGAGAGCACAGAGGAGGAAGGTAAGCGGGGTCGCCATGTGCGTGGTGTGCTCACACGGATGCACACACATGCTTACCCCCCAGCGGGGCTCAGGCCTTGTCTTTTGTCAGGAGGAAGTGGAAGTACTGACACGTGGTAGGCCCTCGCCCGGGCACGGATGGGTGTTTGGAGAAGGTGCTCCTTGGCCCAGCGTGGTCTCGATCTACCTTCTCTGTAACCAGACAGGGGCTCCTGGGCCCTGGGCCAGCTGGCTCTGAGCTCGGGGGCATCTCGGTGAGCGCCCTTCATTTGCATGTGTGCACAGATACCCGGCCCCTTCTGTCCTCTGGTGGCAAAGGACGCAAGGCACAGGGGCCACTGCAGAGAGGCTGCAGGGCCGAGGCCCTGAGAGCAGGGAGCCACCCCACAGTGCGTCAGAGAAGCCGGGAGAGGCGGCAAGCCCTCGGGAAGGGGGCCTCAACAAGCCCTCCGGAGCTGGGGGGCAAGTTCCGAGTCCTGGGGCTTGGGAGGCCTCCGCCAGTGTTCTGCAGGATTTCTCTGCTGGGCTTTAGGATTGGAGGCAGGGTCATGACCGTCTTTTGACCACGGGTAGTCCTCATCTCCCTTCTTGAGCAGTCCCCAGCCCAGGCTCAGAGACAGCCTCTGAGTGCCATGCCCTGCAGGGACACTGATAGGACTCCATCTCGGCCCTTCCCTGCACTGGGCCTGAACCCCCTCAGCATCCCAGGCCCAGCATGGTGTGGGTGTGGACCTGAGGGCTGCCACACGTGCACTTGGCATGTGCGTGTGCATGCAAACACACACACACTCAGTGGACATGCACTCTGCCCAGCCCCAACTATACTGGGCTCTGATCCCTCCCCAGGGAAGAACAGAGGTATGAGACGATTTACCCAGAGCTCTCAGCAACTCGTCTTTAATGCTGGCCCCAGCTGGTCCATGGAAAAGCCCAGACCCGAGTGGATTTTTCAGACCCAAAGGCGTTTTCCTCTCCTGGGCCTAGGGAGGTGGGGTTCCACGTATCCCCCCTGAAACACACACAAACGCCTCACTTCTCAGAGAAACCAGCACGGTCCCAGTGTAATGGGCTTCCTGTGCCCAGCAAGGAATTCTAAAGTCCTCAAGCAGGACTGGAGGGACGAGGGCCTCAGAGACATGATGTCCCATTCCTGATGTACAGGAAGACGTCAGAAACCCAGAGGGAGAAAGGCACTGCCCCCAGGCCATGCAACCAACGAGCAGCAAAGCCAGGACAGACCCTCCACCCCATTCACCACAGCTGTAGTCATATGCGTGCGCTGAAAAGAATCCCTGAACTATATATGATCTTAGTCTTTCCAAATAAATAGCTTTCAAGAATTCAAGGAGCTTTCGGGTTAAGAACAGCACTAAGAATACCCAGAACTTACTTTCACTTTGGGGAGCTCTAAACTGAACTAATGACCAGTTCATAGAAGTCTCAGATGTCAGAGTTCCTCATGTGGCCCTGGCCCCATCCTGGGGTAGTAGAAGGGCCCGGCTGGGAGGCCTGTCCTGGTCCTGGCTGAGCTGCTGTCCCACTGGGGCCTGGGGCAACCCCTCGCTCAGGACCTCTGCTCTGCATTGGTTCCGAGAGGGCAGACTCCACAATTTCTGGAGGCTTCCCCAGCTCCCAATCCGGAGCTCCCCTGTGCAGTGGTGACTACTTATGGGCTCCAGGTCTTAGGTTCCTCATCTTTGAAATGGGGCTTCTCTACCTAGGGGGGAAAAAGCTATTCTGAAGTAGCAGCAAGTGGCCTGGTGCCTCGCCAGGGTGGAGGCTCCACAGTGGGTAAGAGGGGGCCATTGCAGCTTTCCAACTCGAAGGGCCCATGCCCACTCTGCTAACTTTCTGTTTTGTAACTGGAAGCCAAAGGGTCCGGCCAAGACATAGACCACTTGGATTTCAAGATCGGGGTGGAGCCAAAGGACTCCCCACCCTTCACAGTCATCCTGGTGGCCTCGTCCAGACAAGAGAAGGCAGCATGGACCAGTGACATCAGTCAGGTGTGCAGCTTCACCCGTTCCTGCATGCAAGTGGCCCCTTCACGCCCAACGTGGCCGGGGAGTTACGGCAGCACGGCATTGCTCTGGGGGAAGACAAGGCTCCTTCCAGTCCCCAGGCCTGCCACGCCAAGCTCAGCTCCCCCATCCTGTCTGCAGGTCGCTTCAAGTGTGGTCCAGGAACTGGTTGTGTCTGAATCGCTTAGAGAAGTTTTATTTATTTTATTTATTTTTTTAGACTTTTACCATAGGGCCTGTGCACTCACCAGACAGAACAGAGAGAGGGAGGGAAAGTGAGAAAAATCACCCCTGAGAAAATGGCCGCTGCCTCTCCCTCCTGGCCACGGTGCTGATGCCGATGTGTGGGCAGGCCTCCAGCCCCTGCTCCGGTCTCACCTCCCTGCTGCCTCCTCTACACTCTGACCCCGTGCCCAAGCCCTCTTCACTTTGGGGGTGCTGGAGAAGCAGAGCTAGAGAGAAGCCAGGCCAGGAAATGCACAGGACAGACCCCTCCTTCTCTAGTGCCACCTTTGGAAGCCTGGCCTGAGCCACGGGGCCTGGGCCTTGGAGCACCCACCTGCTCTGTGCCAGCCTCCGGCTTGCTTTCCAGAGACTGACAGACACGTGTGGGCTCTTACTACAGAGGACCACGGCTTCAGCTCAGAGGACGGAAGGCAGTACAGCACCCTCATCCCCTGCTGAGCTGGGCTCCCGGAGAGATCCCAGTCCACCATGGGTCCAGTCCTGTCCTTGACACTGGACCTCAGAGGTCGGCCACAGAGTGGTCAGTGTCAGGGGCCTCCATTGTGCCATCGGCCCCATCAGGCAGGAGTTGTCATCCCCACTCCGCAGGTAGGGAAAATAAGGTCACTCCGCCAGGTCTTGACGTCCAGCCAGAGTCCCAAGGCCACTCTGCGTTGACCCTGCCCTTGGCTGACAATGCCTTGAAGCTCGAGGACCCAGTGCTGTGTGAACCACTCAGCCCACAGTGCTCCCGCCAGGCAGGTCCCGGCTGGAGGCCTCGGCTCTGACCCGGGCCCTCCCTCTGCTTCCAGTGTGTGGATAATATCCGCTGCAACGGGCTCATGATGAACGCGTTTGAGGAGAACTCCAAGGTCACTGTGCCACAGATGATCAAGTGAGTGCCGCAGCCCCCAGGCTGGGCTCCTGGGGACACGCGCGGGCCAGCCGCTGGGACTCGAAGGACGCTGGGTGGCATCTCTGGGGGGTCTGGCTATCTGTCTGCTTGCTTGTTTGCGTGGAGTTAACGTCTGTCTGGACGATCACTCTGCCCTAGTGTGTGTTGTGGTTTGTTTTATGCATGTGGATTATTTTTCTATCAGGCTATTTATTTTTTCTCCGATACACAAGAGAGACAGAGGGAGACAGCACCCCCAATAGAGTCCACCCCCAGCTTCAGCCAGCCCCGATCATAGCCACCCATGTGTCTAATGTATTCAGGGACATGCCCAGATGCAGACCCAGAACCTTCCCCTGTGGGCCAGCCTCACAGGTGGTCTCTCCACCACACCGCTGTGCAGACCCTGGGCTGTTTAGGTCTCACGTCAGGATCGAGACTTTCCTGCTAGATGGACGCGGGGTAGCAGAGGTGAGCAGGCGCGGGCTCTGTCCTCCAGACAGAGGACAGAGTGTCTGACCGCAGCGTGGTGAGGGCTGGGAAATGGGGCTCTGTGGTGCTGGGTGAGGGGTCCAGAAGACAGGCTGATCGCCCTGGCACAGCGGACGAATGCTCCCCAGAGAAGGGGACTTGACAGTCCCCTGAGAGGATCAGTCAGAGCCTGCTAAGTGCTGGAATGGGAGGGCATCCTGGAAAGACAGAACAGCGTGCGGGGGGGCTCGGAGTTGGGGCGTGCACTTCGTGTTTGGGGAATGATGAGCCGGTCCTCGGGGCTGCAGAGCCGGGAGGAGTGGCGTGGCGTGCAGGCAATGCCCTTGTGCAGCCATGGTCTCCTGGAACACTGCCGAACTTCCAGAAAAGCACACAGGCCAAACCGAGAGGCTTGACCACAGACGCTAGTGGGTCAGTGTTTAGGGGAGCCAAAGAGCACATGTACCCACCAATGAGAGACAGACAGGGCGAGGGAGAGAGCACCCCCCATGGAGTGCGGTCACACCGCCATCCTTTCTCATCCCTGTTGGGAGTCTGGGCGTGCACAGGCACCCGGCATTGTTTCAACCTACACAGGCCAAGCCAGGCTAGGCCAGGATTCAGACCACACAGTCAGCCAAGTGACTCCAGCTCCCTAAACCACCCGGCCACAGGGCGCCATCCTAAATGTATTTATTCCTTCATGAACGTGACGGGGGGCCCACACTCCGATCCTTGCCCTGTCCCAGCCGTCCCAGGTAGCCAGGTGGGTGTGTGTTCCTGGTGGGCACAGGCCCACCAGGGAGTCAAACCCACAATCTCCCACATGGATCCAGCTTTGTTTGAGGAGTATGTTCCCCGCCGTACCACCGAGCCAGCCCTGCCCTTGTTCTCTAGTGAGACCGTCCTCGGTGGTTGGTGCATGATAGAGACAGTGACGACAAGGTGATGGCCCAACCCTCAGGGAGCCAGCCGCCTGGTAGGAGAGACAGCCGTGGCCCCCCTCACCTCTCCGTCCTGCCCCAGGTCCGACGCCTCCTTGTACTGCGATGACGTGGACATCCGCTTCAGCAAGACCATGAACTCCTGCAAGGTGCTGCAGATCCGGTACGCCAGCGTGGAGCGGCTGCTGGAGAGGCTGACGGACCTGCGCTTCCTGAGCATCGACTTCCTCAACACCTTCCTGCACTCCTACCGCGTCTTCACCACGGCCGTCGTGGTCCTGGACAAGCTCATCACCATCTACAAGAAGCCCATCAGCGCCATCCCTGCCAGGTGTCGGGGCCCCGCCACCTCCCGCAGCCACAGGCTTCCAGGCCTGGGAGGGAAACCGAACTTTACGTTAGGCGGCCCGGGAGGTTCCTGAGGGGGGCTCTGAGGAGAATGGGGGTACAGGGACCTTCACCACCGCCCCTGCCCAGGAGCCAAGCTGGCCTCCTGCACAGGGCGAGGGAGGGTCGCCTGAGCTCCTCCACCTCCATCGGCCCTGCTGGGGGCTGGGAGGTGGGGCTTGCGGAGGACCACAGCTCTCCTCCCTGCTCTCGCCTCCTGGAAGCATTGGGCCCACCCTTCACGGGAGGACAGTGCTTGTTGTTCTCATTTAAGAAAGAAACGTTGAAAAGGAGAGAAAGGAGGGCAAAGAAAGGAAAGAAGAGAAAAGAGGGAGGGAGGAACGGGGGGGAGACATGGGAAAGGACAGGAGCAGGACCAGCAGATGGTGTAATGGTTGTCGCCGGACTCTCACATAGCCGATCGTGGTTCGAGTCCAGGACCTGGAGGCTTACAACTCACGCACCTGTGTGTGCCAGCCCAAAATCCCAGGAGGAGACTGGAGAAGGGAGTGCGGTGTGGCTATGCCCCCCTGGGGAGTGATTTCTCACTTTCTGTCTCTCTCTCTGTCTCTCTGGCAAGCACTTGAGTCCTATAGCAAAAATCTCTCTCTAAAAAAGAAAGAAAAAAAGAAAGGCACCAGCAGTTAGCGTAATGGCTGTATCTCTGGACTTCCACATAGTTAGCTGTGGTTCAAATCCCGGACCCAGTGGCTTAAACTCAGACCAGGTGCGCGTGCACGCGTGCCCAAGATCCTGAGAGGAGAATGGAGGAGAAGGGATTGCGACGTGGCCATCCCCCCTGGGGGGTGATTTCTCACTTTCTGTCTCTCTGTCTTCCTGATGAGCGCACGCACCCGATAACAAAAACCTCTCCAGAAAAAGAAAGAAAGAAAGAGAGAGAGAGAGGCAGGAATAAGGAATCTTACCCTGCTCTGCTTAGACCACATGCTCTGAGGAGCAGCGGGTGCCCATGTTGTCACCATAATCGTTCGCGGTCTCTGGGGACCAGCCAGTGCCCTGCAGTGGGAAGAGGCAGATTCAGATCTAGCTCAGCCCATGGCTTTGGCTGAGTCACCTAACCTCTGCCAGCCCCAGTGTCCCATCTGGGACGTGGGGAGAAGAGTACCTCCCTCCTGGGGCAGTGAGCCACCATTGGCATCAGTACAGTTGCGTCACTTTCAGCCCAACCCGTGGTGGGGGCCCCTGGACCTGGGAATGGTAGGAGCATGGCCAGGATTGCTAGGACCCCCCACTCTCAGCTTCCCGCCCCCGAGTTTACATATCAGGTCTCTCAGGGGCCCTGGTGGAGTGGAAAGGACGCTGGGTTCAAGTCTGAGCGTCCAGTGAGTCATTTCCTGTCCCTGAGCCTCAGCTTTCTCATCCACTAAACATCCCTCAGGACCTCCACGAGGATGAGGTCAGCGCATGGTGGTGAGGCCAGGTCTTTGTGTGGGATGGTCGGAGGTTTCACAGATGCCAGGAGGTCAGGGGGCCTTGACACTCTCCCCCGCCAGGACAGCCCCACATCGCAGCCAGACCGTGGAGAGCAGGACCCTCGCATGTCTAGACGTTTGTCCCCAAGCCAGCTAGTCCGCAGTGTCTGCTCAGAGGATCAGCCGTGTATCCAGGGATGATGCTACTGAGGGTGACACTGCTGACGCCTGAGCCCCAGCAGACAGAGGCGCCACCAGGCCAGGCGGGCAGGCCCACGCTGACCTCGGTTCTCACCCCCGCCCTCCCTACAGGTCGCTGGAGCTCCTGTTCGCCAGCGGCCAGAACAGCAAGCTCCTGTATGGCGATCCCCCCAAGTCGCCGCGCGCCACCCGCAAGTTCTCCTCGCCACCGCCCCTGTCCATCACCAAGACGTCATCACCGAGCCGCCGGCGGAAGCTGTCCCTCAACATCCCCATCATCACCGGCGGCAAGGCGCTGGACCTGGCCGCACTCAGCTGCAGCTCCAACGGCTACACCAGCATGTACTCCGCCATGTCGCCCTTCAGCAAGGCCGCGCTGGACACCAGCAAGCTCTACGTGGCCAGCACCTTCGCCAACAAGATTCCGGATGAGGGAGACATGACCCCCGAGAAGCCTGAAGACCCCCCGGCACCCAGCAAGCAGAGTGAGTGGACAGACGTGCAGGGGAGTTACCCCCTTAGCTCGTGGGCACACTGAGACGTGGCCCAGCCCAGCCGTGTCTTGGGTGCCACTCAGTGCTCCCGTGGGGCAGGAGGGGAAAATCTCGGGGGTCCTGGCCAAATCATGATGGCGTGCGGAGTCTGGGCAGTGCAGAGAGGCAGCCGTCTGTGGGAGCCACCCTCTTGGAGATTCACGACAACCATTACCATGTGCAGGTTTTCTAAGTCCTGTGGCGAAAGACGGCGAAGCTTCATTACAGCAGATTCTGCATCTGCGCATCCCAGACCTGCTCCGTTTTGCTTCAGTGCACCATGGACGTGAGTTTTACAGTCAGTACACGACTGAGAACAGTTGCGGCTTTCTTTCATTCCTTTCAGGCTCCGAAGTCTCGGTGAGGGAAGAGTCAGATATTGATCAGAACCAGAGCGATGACGGGGACACTGAGACATCCCCAACGAAATCTCCAACGACACCAAAATCGGTCAAAAGCAAAAATTCTTCAGGTACAATTCACCAGTGCCAAGCTACACCCAGACTCCGGGGTTGGCAGAGGGTGCCAGGTCAAGCCAAGGCGCGTGGGTGTCATCTCTTGTGTTTGATGAGTGACTCCCCAAGCCAGTAACTATTCTGACATCTCGTAAGCTTGGGGTGGGGTTGGGGGGGGGGGCCCTGGCTGAGCAGACCCTGCTCTTCAGCTTAACAGAGCCACTTCCTCACCTTCAGATGGGACCACGATGGACCCCTCCACGTGGGTGGGCAGTAGGGCCCGGCACTGAGGCACACTCACGCAGGACCTCAGCTCAGATGTTACTGAGCCCCCGTGGGCCAGGCTCTGGGGCTGGGCCCTTAATCATCCTGACACACTTGCACAGAGGCCAGAGGTTGCCATTTTCCAAATGAAGCGAATTCAGGGAGGTGGTGACGTTGCCCCCGCTCCGATCCTGAAGGTGCTCCAGGGGCTCTCCTGGTCTCTGCTCCCGCAAAGCACCTCCCCACACCCAGGAGGGCTGGAGGTACCCAGAGGTGAGGATTCTCATGGCCTCAACTCCCAGGGTGCCCTCTCCTTCTCCTCCAACCCCCTGCTCCAACATGTGAAGGGCCCAAAACCTGAACCCCCCAACTCCGCAGGCTTTTGGAAGAAATGCAGTAGGTTCAGGATCACCTGACTTGAGAGAGACACTAGCCAGGCACACGTAGTCATGGCACACTTCTCAGACACCCGAGGTCAGACATCCTGCGAGGCCAGAACTGAGAAATAAGCTTTGAGTCTTTCAAATAAACCATTTGCTAATTGCAACCTAAGCCCCGCTACTTTGTCCTAACTTACTGTGAATTGCTTCCCAAAGACTCCCATGAAGCTAAAGGGTGCTGCAGTTGGTTTCTACTATGATTACTTCTAAAAAATGATGACGATGATGATGCCAGCTCCATGGCCTGGTGGTTAAGGCTGACCACATGGTTCAAATCCCAGACACAGCAGCTTAAGAAACACACAAGGCAGGTTCTGTTCATGCCCAAAGCCCAACAAGAAGACGAAGTAGAGGAGAAGAGATTGCAGCATGGCCATGCCCCATGATCCCCCTCTCCACCTTTCCCACTCTTGGTCTCTGTGGCGAATGCATGTATTGTCTAGCGAGACAATAAAGTCATCGTCAGTAACAGCAATGGCATTTTGTTGCTATTGGCATGCATGTATTGGGTTGTCAGGAAAGTCCGGTCGTATTTCTCTGTGTAAAGATGCGTCACGACCTTCCCGACACCCAATAGTTTCTTACCCAACACAAAGTACTTTCATCTAGGCTATCTTCTTTCATCTTTACGTCCTTCTTTTTTGTTTGTTTGGTTTTTTGCCATAGGGCACATGCATTTGCGGGAGAGAGAGAGAAACAAAGAGAAGGAAAGTGAGAAATCACCCCCCAGGGGAATGGCCAAGCTGCCATCCTTTCTCCTCCCTTTTCCTCCAGGATGTTGGGCACACATGCAAACGTGCCTGGTGTGATTTTCAAGCCAACGGGTCCAGGTCTCAAACTGTGGTTGACCATGTGGGAATCCAGTGCCTTAACCACCATGCCACCTGCCAGCTCCTCCCTCCATCTTTTATGGAAGGCATTATCCCTGTTATCCAGAGATCACTGAGACTCAGAGAGGTTAAGTAACTGACGTAAGTCACACAGCTAGTGAAGGGTGGGGAAGAATCTCCCCCCAGACGGACTCGGAGTGCCGCTCACTTGTCCACAAGCCTGTCGTGTGGGCCATGGCTGTCACGTTGGACACGCGCACTCCAAGATGAGAGAGTAAACGGACGCAGGATGCTGGCCTCAGCCAGGCCCACCGAGTGGGGCCTGTGAGGTGGAGGTCGAGAGCCACAGAGAGATGGAAGCTGTGGTTAGGGACCTTCTGCATCTCAGTAGAAGAGGGCAGAGAGACATGGGCCTCTCGGCCCTGGGAGAGCCCTGCAGGTGTCCTCGCAGGGACTTTCTAGAAGACTGGGGGCACCAGGCCTCCCTCCTGATAAGCCTTGCACCAGGGAGACTGAGGCTGCTCTCCCCAGAGGTTGTTGGAGCCTCCCTCGGGACCCCAGGCTCTCTAACAGCCCGAAACAAGAGGGCCTGAGCGCTGTCTCCACCCCCACACAGAGTTTCCACTCTTCTCCTACAACAACGGAGTCGTCATGACCGCCTGTCGAGAACTGGACAGTAACCGCAGTGCCCTCTCGGCCGCCTCTGCCTTTGCCATAGCAACTGCGGGAGCCAACGAGGGCACCCCAAACAAGGAGAAGTACCGCAGGATGTCCCTGGCCAGTGTGGGTAGGTAGGGCCATCCCTACCCCATCCTCCCCGAGCTCAGCCCCTTCATGAGCCTGTGGTAGGCGGGGTCAGCCGTGGCCCCAGGGGCTTGCTGCAGGTCTGCTGGCACAGGCCGGGCCTGCTGGCAGCACCCACACTCCAAAAGCCCCCTGCTGAGCCCTCTCACCCACTGCCCCCCATGCTCCCGTGTGAGCACTCTCCCTCCACCTGTGCAGTAGCTGGGGCTCTGAACACCCCAGGGCCTACTCTCTTCTGCTGCCAGGGCCACCTGAGTCTAAGGCACAGCCTGCCCTGTGCCCTTCTCCCAGCTCCTTCCGCCAATGGGATCAGATCCAGGTTCCTCCTGCAGGGCCACAGGAAGGGCAGCTTAGCTCCATCCATCCCAGCACACTCTGCCCAGACACCGCCTCCCCTAAATCGACCTCCTACCCTGCCCCCCACACTTCCTGCCCATGGGCCTCTGCCAGCGCTGGGGGCTGCCTCCTTCTCACCCATTCCCCTGACTACCTGGCCAACTTCTCAGAGTAAAGCTCATTGTGGGGGAGCCTCTGTCGCCGCAGCTCCAGCCTCCCCCATCCACACCAGTGGTCTTGCAGCAGAGGCTGGAGTAGGCTTGCCCCTGTGTAGCCCTGTCTGGGGAGGCTTCCTGAATCTTCCCACAGCCTGAAGGGTGGAACCCTGCTGGAGGCATGGCCGCTGACAGTCCCAGCACGTGTGGGGCTAGAATCCCAGTCCTACAGCCCCCTCCCCAGCAGGCCAGAGCAGCCCAAGCTTGATCAGATTTGGGTTTGAATCCAGCCTACACCCCAGCTCTGTTTCTTGTCCTCTTACATCCCTGCTCCTCTCTGCCACATACGTCTCCAGGATTCCCGCCAGATCAGAGGAATGGAGACAAGGAGTTTGTGATCCGCAGAGCAGCCACCAACCGCGTCCTGAATGTACTGCGACACTGGGTCTCCAAGCACTCTCAGGTGGGTGGGAGCCCTCCCGGCAGGCTGCCGGAGACAGGTGGGCGGTGCCCCCAGGAGCCAGCTGCCCTCCACCCAGAGCAGCTGCTGGCAGAGTGCGCTGGCAGCGGGGCAGCGGGGCAGCGGCAGTGGGCAGAGAGCCCAAGCACACTGTGCTAGGTTCTTAAAAGGACCTGCTTGGACCCCCAAGGGGGGAATCCTGGACATTCTAGGGAACAAAGGCCTCTGCTATCTACAGCAGGGCTGCAAGCAAGTTTATGTCCTCCTGACCCAGGGGCTCAGCAGATAGAGGGATGGTTGAGGGTCTCAGAGGCTTTGGCTCAGTCTGCAGGCCCTGGGAGGACCCTAGTCCTGCACAGTCAGAGCAAAGAAAACGCAGTAGAGGCTGCAGCTCCCCTTTCTTGCCTGAGGAGGCCCAGACCACTGCAGGGCGGCTCGAGAATAGTAGCAGAGCCAACCATCACGTCTTCCCGGCAGGACTTTGAGACCAACGACGAGCTCAAATGCAAAGTGATCGGCTTCCTGGAGGAGGTCATGCACGACCCGGAGCTCCTGACCCAGGAGCGGAAGGCGGCAGCCAACATCATCCGGTAGGGCAGTGCCCAGCCCGGCTCAGGTCGGCCTGCTGGGGTGCGGCCAGGAGGCAAGAAGGGTCCTTCTCAGGCAGGAGAGCAGCCCCAGGGCAGGGGTGAGCCTGGAGCCCGAGCCACCTGGAGGCCATGCACCCCACTTCCACATCCAGAGCCGTCCATTTGTCCTTCTCTCCCCTCTCTCCACCCTGCGCCAGATGTTGGTCTCCTGGAGACCAGAGCCACGCCCACTCTCCAGATCCATGCACAGCTGCCGACACCTGTCTGGCCTGTGCAGTCCATAGGGAGGCGCCCAGTACCTGTGGCTACCTACATCTTAATACGCTAAAATGGAATAAGAGGTAAAGTTCAGTTTGTTGTCACAAGAGGCGCACGTGGCTTGTGACCGCCGTGTCAGCACAGATGCAGACGTGCCCGTGGTGTGGAGGGTGCTCCTGGGCAGCGTGGCAAGATGGTCTATAGGCGCTCGGAGAATGCTGAATTGAATCTAGTTAAATCCTATGCCCGTTACTCCTCCATGGACTGCCTCTCCTGGCAGGGGCAGGGGTCAGGAAGCCCTGTGCCCACGCTGGCTCAACCAGTGACTGTCTCATGGCCTAGGCATGTCCCTCCTCTGAGCCTCACTCTTCTCCTCTGTAAGATGGGTGAACAGCACCCACTTTTAGGGGTGAGGCTGGGGTGAGCTCGTGGTGTCTCCTGCAGGCTGCTGGTCAGGCATTAGGCCCAGGCCCACCGTCTGCTCCTGCTCTCTGCCCACGCCCAGCCAGCCTGAGCATGCGGGCTCAAGGTCAGGCCCCTCCCGCAGGCACTGGTGGAGCTCCAGCCGCCCTCTGCACCCCACTCTGCCCATCATTGCCTGGGCCCCAGAGTGCCCACCAAGTCCTGTTCAAGCACCTTCTGTGCACAGTCTCCAGCCTCCCCACTCCACCCTGCAACCAGCTCGTCATCTGCTTCCTTTCCCCAAGGCTGTAGCCCTGGCATTCTTCAGGCCCAAAGTCCTAAAGGCTCCTTCAAGGCCACCTCTTGGGGACAGGTACATGTGTGGCCATTCCAACCCTGCAGGGGCAGGAGGCCCAGAGGCTGAGGAGGCCCTAAAAGGGGACCTCGGCCAGCTGGAAGGGTCAGGACCATCAGGCAGGAGGATAAAGGGGAAGGAGGCCCCTGGCAAAGTGGAGGAGCAAACTGTGACAGCCCCAGACACCAGGAGGAAAGACTGGGGAGCCTCAGCCTGACCAGGCTAGGGAGGGGCTGCCAGAACGGGAAGGGACTCATGTGCCTTCTTGTCCCCAGGACTCTGACCCAGGAGGACCCAGGTGACAACCAGATCACGCTGGAGGAGATCACACAGATGGTGAGCCGGGCTGCCCTCTTGCTTACCGGCCCCCGGAGCCCCTGCCTGGGCACGCTCCCCTTTTCATTTCCCGTGGCCGCCTTCACAAAGCACCACACACTAGGTGGCTCGGCACAGCAGAGATTTGTTCCCACAGCCCTGGAGGCCAGAAGTCTGAAATGAAGGTGCTGGCAGGGCCAGGCTCCCTTGGAAGTCTCTGCAGCGCCCCCCAACCCCTGCAGCTCCTGGAAGCCCCGGGCCCTCTCTGGCTATGGCCATGTCTCTCCCGTCTCTGCCTCCATCTCCATGGCTGACTCCCCACTCCCTTCCTCTCCGCATAGCTTCCCCCGTGCTGTCCATGCCTCTGTCCCGATCTCCCCTTCTCAGAATACGGCCACACTGGGTCAGGGCCCCACTGCCCACCACACCTACCTTCATGGTGTCTGCCAAGACCCTACACCTAGTAGGGCACCAGGCACTCGCGGTGCTGGGTTAGGACTCCAGGTGTCTTCACCGGGAGGCAACACTTGCCCCTAACCCACCACACCTCTGTCCTTTGTCTTCGTCTCCCGTCACTCCCTGTCCCCTAGGAGGAAGGTAAGGAGTAAGGACGGGTTGATGGTGTTGGCATGTGCTGGGCTCTTAGGGACCTGAAGCCCCCAGCAGTAATGCCATCCCTGTCTGTCAGTGCCCAGCTCACAGCTGAGGCCGCTAAGACTCAGGGCACTGGTGAGAGCTGGGTCCATACTCAGCCCTGGCCGACTCAAAACAGGTGCTCCTTCCACACACCACACTACGTCACCCCAAGGAATCAGGGTCTGCCCACCACCAGCCCGGGAGTGGAGGGTCCCCAGGGACAGAGCTGCCACCGTGAAGGACCGCGGGCTAGCATGCCATCACCAGGGTCTTGTGCACAGCCAGGGCCTACTTTCTCCAGGTGTGTGAAACGCACCCCAAAGTACCACCATGGGACACCCTTGGTGCCCTGGTACCCCTGCATCTTGGTGGCCAGATGAGATCTAGACAGGCTCGCTCTGGCCTCCACCGAGGTGGTGATGGCATGCTTCTGGTTCAGCCCAGGCCGGCCAGTGTGAGGACTTGGGATTCCGGGTTCTGGGCTCGCCCGTACTCCCATCTCCCTGTCCTGTCCCCACCAGGGGCCTGGCCCACAGCCTGCCCCTGAGAGCTTGGCCGGGCTGCTGCCTGGGGAACCCACACGGGCCCTTGGGCAGGGAAGGTGATAGTGCCCCGATAGCGCTTCTCCCACACCGAACCTTTGGGATCCAAATGCTAAGAAAACCCAGGGAGAAGGGCACCCCAGTGCTTCCCTTGAAGGGAGCCGCTGCCGTTTCCCAGCGGGGCCTCACTGAGTGTTTGCCCCTTGTTGAGTATAAGGGCCCTTGTTCCTTCTGAGCCTCCGGAGGCCCTTCCAGAACAAAGGGCCGCAGACTGCTGGCAGTCCCAGAGCCCGAAAGGCTGACGGAGTTTGCAGGGAGGTCCCCATGGCCTCACCAGAGAGCATGAAGGCTTCTTGCTGTGAGGTTTTCGGGAACCTTACAAGGTGAGAGGGGCTGTCAGTCCTGGCCTCTGCTCCAGGGGCACCCTCTTTCCTCAGCCATGCTAGTCAGGAGCAGAAAGAACCCCCAGTTCCTCCTTGCCATGCCTCCTACAGCCTCTCTGGTCCTGAACCCCTGAGCCAGACCCCCTTCTGGCCCCCAGGCTCTTCCCAATCTGGCAGGACTCTTGCCCTGGGCTCTGATGGCCCAGCCATTCTGAACCCCATCCTGGGACCCAGTGCAGGACCCTTGGGCAGGAACGTGGCCAAGCTGCCCACCTGTGTTCATTTGTTAAGCTACTTCAGGGGCTGGGGGCTCTCTCCTGTGAACACGTGGGAAAGCTTCACCCCCAGGTGCCCACCCTGAGAGCCAGCATCTCACTGGCCCCTGCCACTCTCATTCTGGGTCTCCTCTGTCTTTCTGAGAACTCGCTGTTCCCTGAGGCACTGTATCCCGCACACCCACACGCCTGCATATGAGCATCTGTACACACTCTTCCCTGCAGGGCGACCAGACCAGGAAAAATCCACTGACACCCCTGACTACACACATGCACATGTGTACACACACGCGCGTGCACACACCCAGAGGCTGTTTTTATTCCTGTGACTTGAAAGCCCGTGGCTGGAGCTCTCTGAAGTTAGGGATCATTTTCAGGCTTTTCCATTTCCAGTGTCCAGTGAGGGCCCAGCAATGCAGACCCCAGTGCACGTGTGCAGAGGCAATGGGAGGGAGAGAGACACAGCCTAGAAGGGACGTCTTGTCCCTTCCATGTGGGTGGACTCCACCCACCTCCCTTGTGATCAGTGCAGATGGCTGTTTGCAGGCGCTGAGCCCAGCCCGTGGGCAGGGAGGAGTGAGCATAAGAAAGCAGAAGTCCTGAGTGGCGTGAGGTGGTGCCCGCACTGCACCCAGGCTGCCTGATGGGCCGGCCTTCTCCTCCTGTGCGGCCCGCTCTGCCTCAAGTGGGAAGTGGGATTCCTGTCCCTGATTCGCCTCTCAGTAGACACAGGCTCCCCCCGGACACCAACGTCACTGTTCCTCTTCTACCTTTCGCAGACCCTCCATGAGGCCTTGTGCTCAACACCAGCCTCCCCAGGTCACCTCTCTCCTAATCCCTTCAGTGGCTACCGTGCCCCCAGGCCATGTTCCTCTGAGGAGTCCCCTGGGCATGGGATTCTGAGACCCCAGAGCCCAGGATATGGTAGCCCAAGAGACCAGTCTCTTCTGATCATGGGGTAGGAACCCTGCCCCAGGACATACTCACACCTGCAAGTCTATACCTGCTGATGAATTTCAGAGGGAAATTGTATTGAGTCAGTGTAGACCCAATGGATCTAAAAGAGAATGACCAGTCAACAGCCTGGAGTCAGACGTGGGCTCCTGGCCTAACTGGTCCATTTCCAGCTAAGCCACTTGGGCCAGTCTGTACCCTCAGGGAACCCCCGCTGTCTCATTCAGAGGCTGGGGTGACAGCTCCCCTGCAGAGCAAGAGGTCACTGAGTGGGACGGTCCTCCTGAGGCGCGGGTACAGCCCTGTACTAGCTGGGTACTGCAGGAGACAGGGCCACCCCAGCCTCTTTCCTCCCTCTTCCCTTGTCATGCCTCATCCACACACTCACCAAAATCCAGCAGTTTCCCTCAAGAAGTGGCCAGAAGCCTGGAGGGGACACCCGGGAAACTAACTCAGCACCTTGCTCCCCTCAGGCTGAAGGCGTGAAGGCCGAGCCCTTTGAAAACCACTCAGCCCTGGAGATCGCAGAGCAGCTCACCCTGCTGGACCACCTCGTCTTCAAGAAGATTCCTTATGAGTGAGTAGGTGTGGCACCAGGCCGCCCCCCTCGCCTTCCTCAGGCACTGTCTTTGGCACACGCGGGAGCCTTCAGAGCCGCATGGGTGTCCAAGGGGCCCAGGGCTAGGTGCACAGGTCATCAGGAACGCTAAGAAGCCCTGACCCCGGTGCTCTCTTTACCTGTCATTCACACACACACCTTGCATGAGTTTTAAGCCACCAGGTCTGGGACTTGAACCACGGTCGACTACGTGGGAGTCCAGCAATGTAACCATTATGCCATCTGCTGGTCCCTCTTTCACTTTTATATCTAAAGCTGAGGAACCAAATATTTCTCTGAATTGCTGACAATGGTCCCAGAATAATTTCCCAAAATTGGAACTGCCAGACTTGAGACTATAAATCATTCCCTTTTTTGTTTTTAAGGAAAGTTCTTATCTTTATGAGGGAGAGGCAGAGAGAGAGAGACGAGGAGGATCTCACACCACGAAATCCCCCCAGCCTTCCTGGCCAGCCAGGATCAGGTCTATGGGCCCATCATATACAGGTTGGCCAGGGAACCAAACCCACGCCTCTCTGTATGGCTCCGGCTTCCCCTGAGCGGCATTACTAGTATGTCACCAAGCTGGCCCCAGTGTAGGGCTTTTGACCTCTGCTTTCCAGACAGGTAGTCTGAGGCCCTCTCACAGCCCTATCGGACACATGTGCCACCTCACCTAATAGGAGGATGGCACATGGGAAGTCTACGCTCTGGGCGTGGCAACAATCGTCTCTCCTGATTCGCCTCTTCAAGGAGGAAAAGGAGGGCATGTTTCAAACACACTTTGAAATACCGGAAACACAGTTTGGTATGTTTGAAACCCGGTTCTCCTCCATCCGGTCCTTCTCACCCACTGGACTCTGCCAGGTCCCACCCCGATGACTTTGGGGAGTCTGTGCCTGCCCGGGACGGCATGGGTCCTAGAACACAGCTGGCTTGCCTGGCGGGCTCCTTTATCCTCTTACCTGGTCCTTTTCTGTGGCCTTCTGTCCTCCCATTCCACAGACCAGCTGCTGCAGAGTGGCTAGTTCTCCCTGATAGGAAGGAGAACCTGCTGTGGCCACTGCCCTGCGGTTTCTGATACCCTGTTCTCACTTCAGCCGGACAGGAACCCTGTGAGGACGGCGTGGTCGTTGTTCCCACTGTACACAGGAGGAAACCAAGGCCCAGAGCTCTGAAGGGCTCACCTGAGGCCAGGCTAGACTTGATCCCTGCTTCCTTCCTCTCTAAGATTCTGCACAAAGTTGCTCTCCCCAAAATGACAGCCACATAGAACGGTGAAATCAACATGGCAAACCGAACCTCATCGGCCTTGTGTTTCCCCATTACTTCCCACAGAGAGTTCTTCGGACAAGGCTGGATGAAAATGGAGAAGAATGAACGCACCCCTTATATCATGAAAACCACCAAGCACTTCAATGATGTGAGTATAGGGTGGGCGACTCCTTCCTCCCCTGGGTTGTTCTGGTTTTCTCGGCAGGACTCCTAAGAATCTAGGAAAAGAACAGGCTCCATACCTGCTGGAACCAGACCACCCGGGTCATCTCCAGCCCTATGGCCTTGGGCTGGTTGCTTCACCTCAGTGTCAGTTTCTCCTCCCACTAAACAGGACTGACAGGCTGACCATGAAAGAGTCACATGAAGATGACCTGGGCAATCATAGAAAGACACTCAGCCCAGCGCTGCTCCTGGAGAGCTCTCACTCAGGACCTGCAGGTCCTGAGTCACTGCTCTGAGCTGGCTTTGGGGCGAGTCTGCGGCAGAGAGAATGGAAATGAACGAGACCTGGAGGGACAGGAACAAGCCCCTTGCTGTGCTGCTTATTTTTTAACCTCATCTCAGTGTTGGAAAAAGGCCAGGCAATGGTATGGTGGCTAAGGCAACTGGATCCCACGTGAGCAACTGCACGGTTCAAGTCCCAGACCCAGTGGCTTGTAAAAACACTCCGGGCACATGTGCATGTATGCCCAAAATCCTGAAAGGAGAAAAGGAGAAGTGATTATGGCATGGCCATCCCTCCTAGGGAGTGATAGCTCATCTTCCCTCTCTCTGTCTCTCTATAAGAACATGTGCCCACTAGCAAATTCAAAAAGAAAAGAAACTGCCAACATTTGATTAGAAAATGGCAGACAACTTCCCACTGGTAGGGCACATTTCCCAGTAATCTCGGAACTTCCCAGGATGTGGGCAAGGACTTTCGACTCTCCTGGGAGTTGTGGCCTCGTCACCTGGTGCCCTTCTAACCTCCCTAACAGAATGGGAAGTGGACCCACGAGATAGCATTGAAGAGACCAGAGCCACAGCAGGTGAATCCAGAGTTGGGCCAGAGCCTAGGTTCAGGGGCCAGATAGGTTCCATATTCCAGTGAGGCAAGGTTCCTGTCGTAAGAGGCATTTGTGAAGTTCTTTAATGAGAGCAGTATCTGTCCCCTCTGAGTCCCTGCCCGTGCCCAGAACTGTGCTTTACATACAGAATAATCTCATCTAACACCCACACTGGTAGAAAGATGGGGCTGTCAGCATATCTCAGAGACGAAGCAAGGAAGGCTCTGGAAGGGCGGAAGCCCAGCGTCTGCTTGCTGGCACGAGATCGCTCGGCGCCTCTTAATGCTATACAATCCGCAGTGGAATGTGGCTATGTGAGAAAACAGTCTCTCCCGGCAACCTCACTGCCTCTGCAGAGCTCCAACCCCAGGGACCCGCCCGCCCCCAGCCTCGTGACAGCCCTGAGGGCCTCTGCACTCAGCCTCTTCATGCACCAAGTTAATTATCAACAGGAGTAAGGAGCCTCTGATGGCTGGAGGTGGGGCACACGATGCCACTCGTCCAGCACCTGTCATACCAGCCCCAGCCCAGGAGGGCCCCTGGAACGCCCCTCCGAGGAGGGCCCTCTGCTCCTGGAGAATACAGGAAAGACCCCGGTGTTACAGCTCGGGGAGGAGCTTGTGTAGACAGCAGCTGAAGAGGGGATCGCCGGACTCTCGGGAGACAAAGAGTGACCACAACCGGGCATAGCCCAGGAAGCATGGCCAACGGAGGCCTGAGTCTGACCGCACCTGAACACGCATCAGAACGCTGCTCTTCCCCGTCCCTGTCCTACTGTGTGCCCAGGACTCCAGGGTGTGAAAGTCAGGAGTCTGAAGTGAGCGTCCTTTGAGTGTTTACCACACACCAGGCACTAACACTGAGGCCTCCTAGACATCATCTCATCTAACCCTGTTCTTCCCATTTTATGAAGAAACTGAGGCTCAAGGAGGTTAACTATCACCCGTCATGTCACGGAGCGCCACCTCCTTTTGAACCCCCACCGTCAGCTTCCATGGGCTGCCTTAGAACTACTTGGCACTGGCGGTCTCTGCTCAAGCACGCCAGGTTTTTCAGATATGCAGCACATACGTGCCCATGCTGGAGAACGGTCTTCATCCCCCCTTGGCACCACCCTGACTGCCGTTTCCCAGTCCTTCTGCCTGTAATTTCTCCATCCCGCTGACTGGCACTGCCTAGGGCCTCTAGTGCCAGGGCCAGAGCTAGGGTGGAGGTGGTCCAGGTGCAGAATTCAAGGAACCCCTGATGCTTCCGTGCTTGAGCCCAGGGTGTCTCACCCTGAACCTGGCCCTCTCCAGGACAGTGCCGAGTAGAAATGGTGACAGTGTGGTGTTAAATAGAATGCATCTGATAATCCCCATGGAGGATGAGGCATGTTTCTTTAGCAAGTCAAAAAATTCTTTTTTTGTGTGTTAATGACTTTTGCCATGAATGCATATTGAATCAATCAACTCTCGTTTCTCTGCATCTATTGAGATAGTCATACAGTTTTTCTCTTTAACCTTTCTCCATTACTCAAGTGTTTTATAGCCTTCAGTAACTTTTTTCCCATGTAATATTCTACATGGTTTTTATTAAAAATGAATGGGAATGATGGGCCAACCAGTGGCATGGTTGTTAAGACACCCACGTGGTCAACCAAGGTTCGAGCTTCAGACCTCATGGCTTGAAAAACATACTAGGTATGTGTGCATGTGTACCCCAAATCCTGAGAGAATGGAAGAAAAGGGATTGTGGCATGACCACACCCCCCAGGGATGCTTTCTCACTTCCTCTCTCTCTCTCTGTCTCTTTCTCTGGTGAGAGCACACCCCCTGTAGCAAATTTTTTAAAAATTTAATAAGAATGACTTTCTAAATAATTACAAATTGCTATTGTCACTTGGAAAGTAATCTTTTTGTTGTTGTTGTTATATTTCCTGATTGGTTATTGCTAATATATAGAAAAATGTATTTGTCTGTCTATCTATTTATTTTAGAGAGGTTTTTTTACTATAGAGCATGGGTACTCACCAGAGGGACAGAAAGCAAGAAATCACCCCCCAGGAGGAATGGCCGTGCTGCAGTTCCTTCTCCTTCATTCTTCTCTTGGGATTGTGGGCACGCACGCACATGTACCCAGTGTGAATTTTAACCCACTGGGTCCAGGCCTTGAGCTGTGATCGACTTCGTGGGAATGCAGCAGTGTAACCATTATGCCATCTGCTAGTCCTGAGAGCCTTTTTATTTTTATATGTTGACTCTTTAACCAGCCACCCTAAAGTCTCGGGAGACAAAGAGTGACCACAACCGGGCATAGCCCAGGAAGCATGGCCAACGGAGGCCTGAGTCTGACCGCACCTGAACACGCATCAGAACGCTGCTCTTCCCCGTCCCTGTCCTACTGTGTGCCCAGGACTCCAGGGTGTGAAAGTCAGGAGTCTGAAGTGAGCGTCCTTTGAGTGTTTACCACACACCAGGCACTAACACTGAGGCCTCCTAGACATCATCTCATCTAACCCTGTTCTTCCCATTTTATGAAGAAACTGAGGCTCAAGGAGGTTAACTATCACCCGTCATGTCACGGAGCGCCACCTCCTTTTGAACCCCCACCGTCAGCTTCCATGGGCTGCCTTAGAACTACTTGGCACTGGCGGTCTCTGCTCAAGCACGCCAGGTTTTTCAGATATGCAGCACATACGTGCCCATGCTGGAGAACGGTCTTCATCCCCCCTTGGCACCACCCTGACTGCCGTTTCCCAGTCCTTCTGCCTGTAATTTCTCCATCCCGCTGACTGGCACTGCCTAGGGCCTCTAGTGCCAGGGCCAGAGCTAGGGTGGAGGTGGTCCAGGTGCAGAATTCAAGGAACCCCTGATGCTTCCGTGCTTGAGCCCAGGGTGTCTCACCCTGAACCTGGCCCTCTCCAGGACAGTGCCGAGTAGAAATGGTGACAGTGTGGTGTTAAATAGAATGCATCTGATAATCCCCATGGAGGATGAGGCATGTTTCTTTAGCAAGTCAAAAAATTCTTTTTTTGTGTGTTAATGACTTTTGCCATGAATGCATATTGAATCAATCAACTCTCGTTTCTCTGCATCTATTGAGATAGTCATACAGTTTTTCTCTTTAACCTTTCTCCATTACTCAAGTGTTTTATAGCCTTCAGTAACTTTTTTCCCATGTAATATTCTACATGGTTTTTATTAAAAATGAATGGGAATGATGGGCCAACCAGTGGCATGGTTGTTAAGACACCCACGTGGTCAACCAAGGTTCGAGCTTCAGACCTCATGGCTTGAAAAACATACTAGGTATGTGTGCATGTGTACCCCAAATCCTGAGAGAATGGAAGAAAAGGGATTGTGGCATGACCACACCCCCCAGGGATGCTTTCTCACTTCCTCTCTCTCTCTCTGTCTCTTTCTCTGGTGAGAGCACACCCCCTGTAGCAAATTTTTTAAAAATTTAATAAGAATGACTTTCTAAATAATTACAAATTGCTATTGTCACTTGGAAAGTAATCTTTTTGTTGTTGTTGTTATATTTCCTGATTGGTTATTGCTAATATATAGAAAAATGTATTTGTCTGTCTATCTATTTATTTTAGAGAGGTTTTTTTACTATAGAGCATGGGTACTCACCAGAGGGACAGAAAGCAAGAAATCACCCCCCAGGAGGAATGGCCGTGCTGCAGTTCCTTCTCCTTCATTCTTCTCTTGGGATTTTGGGCACGCACGCACATGTACCCAGTGTGAATTTTAACCCACTGGGTCCAGGCCTTGAGCTGTGATCGACTTCGTGGGAATGCAGCAGTGTAACCATTATGCCATCTGCTAGTCCTGAAAGCCTTTTTATTTTTATATGTTGACTCTTTAACCAGCCACCCTAAAGAGCTGTTATTTGTTTTAGTGGTTTTCTGATTCATCTTTTGGGATTTTCAAACGGGTGATCATATCTGCAAATAATGATGCTTAATCATCCTCGTGATATTTATTCCTTTTCCTTTATTCCTGTCTTACTGCATTGGCTTAAAGATCAGTAACTTGATTGCTTCAGAAATCATCCGCAATGAGGACATCCACGCGAGGGTGAGTGCCATCGAGAAATGGGTGGCTGTGGCGGACATCTGCCGCTGCTTACACAACTACAATGCCGTGCTGGAGATCACCTCATCCATGAATCGGAGCGCAATCTTCCGGCTCAAAAAGACGTGGCTCAAAGTCTCTAAGCAGGTGCGGACAAAGAGTTGGCACCACTGCCTGCTTGGGGCTGGGTGAGACTGGGGCAGGGAGACCAGAGGGCTGGCCACTGGGCATTCAGGAGAGCAAGAGGCAGGGCGGAAGACCAAAACCGAGACTCACTCTTCTTATACCATTTGGGAGAGAGCAGGCCCACACGTGACTTTGGGGTGCATGAGACTTTAATTCCTACTTGAATAATTAATACCCCCAAAGTAGAAAGAGTAAAATAGTGATTATTGGCCCAACACTCTTCTTCTTGAGTTGGAACTAGAGTGGTAGCTTCTTGGGGATCTCGGTGCAGGACTGCAGGGTGGTGTAGACAGAGGTCGGGTGATCGTGTGAGTCTCTCTCCAGGACTCTGCCTTCACCTGTCCTGTGGCTCTCAGGGGACTTAGCTGGTCCCCGTTACCCACTGGGCATCTTAAATGTGGACTTGATCTTCACTCATTCAGAACATGATCCTGAAAAAAGATAGGTGGACTCTTCCTCGGGAACAAGGTTTCCTGCACCAGGAATCAGAAGCACCCTCCTTGACCCCCTCCTGGGTCCAGAGGGGACAGCTCTCCTGAAAGGCAGGCTCAGTGGGGCACTTGGGCCACGTCCTCGGTATACTTGGTGGCTGTCCCAGCCCCTTCTGCGTTTGTGCAGGAGGTACAGGAGGTCAGATCCACACCACCACGTGCAGGGTAAGCTCCCAGCAGCACTGAGAACTTGGTGACTGTGTCTGTGGAGCTGCAACTGGGCGGGCTGTGCAGAACCCCGTGGCCTGCCTCATCTGGACCACCCGTGACTTGCATACTGTGTCCCCTCACTGTTCCCTTTATCACCTGCTCCTCGCTGCCATCCTCTGCCAGTGGTTGTGATCTTACCCATCCAGCAGGCAGCAGGTCCGTAAATCCAACCCAGACAGGGGCAGACACACAGCAAGCACGGGGGTGTGGAAGGGGCAGGCGTGCTCAGCTCATAGCCTTGGTTGGTCCTCGGTGAAAAGCCACAGATCAGAATGTCCTCTGTTCATTTGTTTGGCCTCTGAGCACAATGACACTTTCCTCCGAGATACATGGCCAGCAGATCTAACTTCCGTATCTCCCACTATTCCAAGGTTTCCTAGCACCGCTCCTACAGAGCAGCTGGGCCTACCCTCCCATGTCCCAGTTGGGAAAGCTGAAGCTCAGCAAGGTGAAAGGTGCGCGTCACCCATAGGCGTGCCAGGAGCGGGTGCCAGCCTGGCGGGCCCAGGTCTCCTAACACTCAGCCTCTGTATCCAACCTTGAGCCGTCTCAGGTCGTTCCTCTGCAGGAGGGTGGGGAAGAGGAAGGAGGGTGCAGCACCAGAATGGGATCTGGTACAGGAGGGAAGAGGAGACCCTGGGCAGAAGGCAGCCTGGGTGCGTGTGGGTATCTGGAGCAGAATCACCTACGGTGACCCAGCGTGGCCTGTGCTGTCCTGGTGTGTGTCTCTTTCGCCGGGGCTAGGCTACATTTGTGCTTTGAGCAGGATCAGTCCCAACGGGATGATGCTCTTGTCTGCCATCGAGAGGACACTTCTGGGCCTGAACGGGATGCTCAGCACTTTTCCCTATGGAGGGCACATGTCCATCTTGTCTTCCATCAGCATGAAGGCTGAGACCATTTCTGCAGTCTGACATCTTAGAAGAAAACCGAATCCCAAGAGCCTTCACATGCTTGGCCTTTGTGGCCAGTGTCACCGCCGGGCTGGCTAGCACTTACGGTCCCCTGGCACACAACTGTTCTCCAACACAGTTTCCCAGCCAAGTTCTGGACCTCGGTGAACAGAGCTAGAAAGGAAGTTGCTGGTCTCTCACCATTTTACAAACGAGGGAGCTGAGGACCTCAGAGATAAAGGGATTTCCCTGAGGCCTCACAGGGAGAGTGGAGCGCACACAACCTCGTGTGCAGTGTACAGAACGTACTTAGTCTCTTCGGCCAAAGTCAAGCCAGGAACCTCTGCCCAGCCTAGTGTGGGGGCCAGCCTGGCAGGGCACTTGGTAACCCCTTTTGGCCATGCAGGCCTGTTCTTTGATCAGTTCCTCCGCCATCTTTTGTCTTGACTCTGAAATGTGAATGGTTTTCCTATATGCCAGCGTGTGAGAAGACAGCCACTTCTTTTGGGTATAGTTCATGAGAACGGTCATGATCGTGAAAAACGAGCCATTCCCTGCTCTGAGCACGGGCTCTGGGGACACGCCCACCAGATCCTTCTAGACCACTTGGGTCTCAGGATCCTGCGGCATTTCAGTGTCGAATGGGCACTCGGGTCCTCTGCACCCACTTCCATATTCGGGTGTGTGTGTGAGTGTGAGCACAGGTACCCAAACAGAGACCCATCGGACTCCTAGGGAGTTCAGAGCCAAGGTGTTCAGACACAGGAAGGCCCCAAATCCGAAGTGGACGTGGCTCCGGAGCCCGGGGGGCTGGGGGGTGGCATGCTGGAGTGTCGTCCGAGCGCGGGCGCTAGTGTGTGCTGCGTGTTTGTAAACGCTTCTGATTCCTTCTAGACAAAAGCTTTGATTGATAAGCTCCAAAAACTTGTGTCATCAGAGGGCAGATTTAAGAATCTCAGAGAAGCCCTGAAAAAGTAAGTGTGTGTCATTTCATCACGGTTGTTTTCTAAATCATAGACACACATTCCACCCAGATCAGGAGGTCTGTCTGTCTGTGTGTCCATCTGTCCACCCACAAGACCCCTAGGCTTTCAGGACCCCGAGGGCAGGTCGCCTCTATTCTCTGCCAAAGAAACCTCGGGCTTCGTGTCATTTCCCGGGAGAAGCACGGGACGAAGCTCGTAGCTGTGATGACAGTAGCAGTGGAGCCAGGTGCCTTTGTCCTAAAATGCACATCTTTCTTCACGTTTTATTAATTCACTATTTTATAATTCTTTTTTTTTTTTTTTTTTGGAGAGACTTTCACTGTAGGGCGCATGCGCTCGCCAGACAGACAGAGAGAGACATAGAGACAGAAAGCGAGAAATCACCCCCCAGGGGGGATGGTCACGCCGCAA